TTCAGTCTTCTCTCATAAGGATTTTTCTTTTCCCTTTCTCCTGCCCAAAATGGTATCTAGGTGCTCTGGAAAGCTTTTACCAATCAGTAATATCAAGGGGTGTGGCCTCTTATTTATGTGATGGCTTCCACTGAAATAACTTGTCTTATTATTTCTTTAATGTATTGGCCTGTTGTAGTATTCTGAAATATCAAGATTACCTGGAGAGCTTAGTAACACAGATTGCTTGGGCCCTCTGCACCAGATAATTTATATTTCTTACCAGGTGGTACTATGCTTCTAAACCAGAGACCACTAGCTTAACGATTTCACTGTCCTTCTCTGCTGTTTCTTTAAAAGCAGATGGTTTTGTTTTGTTTTGTTTCTTGGCTTCTGTTATACTCTCCTGGTTTGCCTGCTGTCATATTGATTGCTCTCTTTTAGCCTTTGCTACTTCTTTCTCCTGTTTTGTTTTAAATGTTGAAATGCTTCAAAGCTGAGTTCTCAGACCTCAGTATCTACATGTTATTCGTTGATGATCTCATCCAATAGATTGACCAGAAATACCAGCTATATACTGATGACTCCCAAGTCTGTCTCTTTGCTTGACTTCTCTGTAGATCCCCTGACTTGTATTTCCACCTACTTACTAGATATTTCCACTTGGATATCTAGTAGAGATCTTACATTTCATATGCCTAGAACAAATCTCTGGGTTATTTTTTGAAATCTGCTTACATCATTCTTATATTTCAGTACACTGTCTTTGATTTATCTCGGTTCCTTTCCACCTGCCTGGCTGCATGCAGACCACCACCAAGCCCAATGGATGCTATCTCTGGTCTAAACCGTGGCCCACATCTGCCTCATTTTTCTGTGTTACCATCAACCTCATTCTCTCAGCTACTAATTACCACTTGCTTGGGCCCTTGTCTTTGCCTCCTAATGAGTCTCTCTCCTTATATAGTCCCGCTTCCCTACAATCCATTCTTTAAATAAGAGCTAGAATGACTTTTTAAGATGTAAGTAATATTGCATCTTTCCTTGCTTACATTTCTCTGATTGCTTCCTGTTGCATGTAGACTAAAATCTAAACTCTTCTTCATGATGCATAGAGCCCTTCAGGGTCCAGCCTTTGCCTGTCCCTCCAGCCTTACCTTACATCACTCTTTCTTGTGCTGTGGACCAGCCATACTACACACTCCAGGTATTGTTCTAGATCATCACTGAAGTGTCACCTTTCTCAGTGAGGCTTTGTCTGTCAGGGTAGTACACGCACATGTCTGTACACATGCAATTTACTCCTTCTTAGCATATTTTTTTTCTTAACATTATATATTTTTCTTATATATCTGACTTCCTCAATGTCTCTTTTCGGGAGAATATAAACAGTGACAACAAGGACTTTGGTTTGTTCCCTGCCGTGTCTTCATTGCCTACATTGGCACATTCGCCATGGATGGGCTTCAAATATTGCTGAATAGAGAATGAGCTGTTCTTTCCCCATAGGGCCTTTACAGAGCTGTTTCTTCTCCTATATCTTTGATTTTCATCCAGATACCACATTCGTAACCTGCCTGGAGCTGCCGCTAGTCTCTTTGTTGTAGCATTCTATTTCTTATTCACTGCATGGCATTTTTTTACAGTCTGATATTTTTCTTACTCATCTTTTTGTCCATGGATTGATTATCTTTGCCCCTTCCCTTTTCCCTTCCCACACACCAGGAAGTGTATTCTATGTAGATTGGAGCCTTTGCTTTATTTGGTTGTATATTTCTGGTATCTCTTACAGTAGTTGGATATAATAGAAACTCAAGAAATATTGGTTGAAAGAACAAACAAATGAAGTTTATCATTCTTTCTCAGCATAAAACCTCACTTGCACCCCTTGAAGATTAGAAAACCCTACCCACTTCTCCCTGCTTGCTGATGAAGCCTTTCCCTTGGCTTTCACTAACCCTGAAAGTCAGCTGTGTTTTTCCTCAATCCCCTGTATCTGAGCTGCCTGCCAGGCCACAGCCTCTGATACAGGTCCCAACACTCCCTACAGCAGCCTCCTTACTTCAGTCCGAAGGCTCTTTAATTTTCATTTACCTTGCTTTTCTCCTAGCAAGACTTTTTATGTATCACTTCCATGTTTTGCTGAGGCCGAGGGAGCTCTGGCTATACCGTCCCTCTGTCTGTCTCCCTTTTCACTGTTCTTGCTTATTCTGTGAGGCAGGATCCCTCTGAGGGGCAGTGATTTCTGCCCTTGAATCCCTAAGCTATCCTGGACAGAGGTAGCGGGTAGTTCTTTAGTCACCTTTGGGTCTCCAGCTAATAAGTGTTTGAAAAATTGTAAGTGCTGTTAGTTTAGTTTTCAGTTTCTTCTCTATCTCATTTTTGTCGCATGAAGATAGGAGTCTGTTCTTTAAAGATAGGGGTCTGTTCTTTAAAGATAGGGGTCTGTTCTTTAAAGATGGGGGTCTGTTCTTCATGCACGTTTTTTCTTCTCACACCTAGTATCTCTATATTTATGCCATTTGAAAAAAGTTGGAAGTCATTTTCTGATGCCCAGAAATTGAATTCTTTAAGCATTGATTCTTTGCTTATAACTTCCCTCCTTTGCATTTACAACAGTTATTATTTCTATCTGAAATAAGTTTGTGTGTACAACCTTGGACATCTCAGCCTCTCTCCATTACCATTTTAGATCCTGTTATTTTACATGCATGTGAAATACTTTATGGCCCTAATGAGAGGGGAGGCTTCTTGAGGCCCTGGGCTCTCATCTTACAGGAATGTGCCTATTTAGTATTTCAGTGTGTTCTGGAAAATTGCTTTCTCAAGCAAAACAGAGAAAGTTTATCATGCCCTCATTTGGCCACATTTTTTAAGTTGAATGCTTAGAGTCAACTGTCATCACTAGATGGCACTTGCAGCTCACAAATAGTCGTATTTATTTTTGTGACAAATGCACAATCCCCAAACATAATGTTTAGAATCCCTGCATGGGCATTCCTTAATAGAAAAACAAAACAAGGGGAGTCCTGCTAAGTTTATCAGTTGCTTTGATACACGTAGTATTTATAAATACATGGTTGAAGAATATATTAAATTGCTTTACAATTATTATTTCATAGTTAATAGTAATATCAAGAAATAGGCTTGCGTCCATGTATATCTTCTTAGCCTAATAGTGCCAAAAAGTTGAAATTTTTGTAAGATTTGTTTGCTCTTTATCTTAGTTTTGAGAGAAGTATTATAGCTCCTTACACTGACTCTTACTCAACTCTAAGCATTTACTATTCTTACAGTGACTCTTACTCAACTCTAAGCATTTACTATTCTTTTTTAGTATTTAGAGAAATAACCTGCTTGTGACTTTGAACTCCATTTTACTGTTGCGGAAATGAAACTCAAACCCACCCAGGATTAAGAGCTCACAGGTGGACACAGCCCTGCATTCTCACTCAGTCCTGAACCTTCCATTATTCTCATGGTAACTGGGAGCCAGTGTCCATGTGTGGTGAAGTAACTGGATGGCAAGTGCAAATGGCTGATGAGAGGTGTGAAGGAGAGCAAGGATGTAAGCTTCAGGAAGGAAGGAGATACCAAAGGAAAGACCAGCTACCAGAGATGCTGTCCTACTTTGCAGTTTTGCCTAGAGGCAGCCCAGATCCCTTTAGCCAATGACAGAAACTGAATATAGAATGTTTGTCATTGCCTGCTCTAGTCCTCAAATCCCAGCCTAGATCTGACTGTGTCATCTTGGGCAAGTTGCAACAATGTGACTCCATATGCTTACCTTGAAAATGGAGGAGAATTAAATGTTAGTGTCTGAAAAGTGCATAGAACGGTACCTGGCACATAGTAAGCATTGAGTGAGTGTTAACCATTTGGGTGGCTTTATCCATTGAGCAATGTGAGAAATGTTCCTACTGTGATGTGGAATGTGCGAAGCAGGATTGGAGCTATGATTAGTGCCTCCCTCTACAAAGTGCCCCAATATGGATAATAAAGTGTTTGATCACCTTAGCTATGGTCAGCTTTGTTAGAAGAGTTTTGTGCCAGGAATTTGTTCAAGTAACTTTGTCTAAAGTTCCTCCAAGAAAAGGTATAACTTATGCTTTCTGACATGTGAAGGTCTTACAAATTGGTATCATTAGCATTCTGATGTTAGATTACCTATCTTCAAACTGCACTTTACCACTGGCTAGCTACATAGCTTTGGGTAAGTTGGTTTACTTGAGGAAAGCTAGCTGCTTCACTGAAAATGAGGATGTGTTACTATTTGCCTTCAAGGGCTGTGTAAGTGAAGTAATATAAGTAAAGTATTAGTTCAAGGCCCACTACTTGTAAAATACATGTAAACGTGGCATAGGGAGGTAGCCTTTTCACTTAACAAAAAGACCTTGGCACAGAGTGCTTAGTTAGACACATTAGAAGTTGAGAGCTTGAAGTAGTCCTTTACACTGATAATATCTAATTTTGTTCTAACAAGTATCAAAAACTACTTTTTGTTTTTATTTTGTTTTGTTCTTGCACATATTTTTATTGAGTAGATACTACATTTTATCCGTCTTTCACCATGACCAATCTTTTAATATTTATATCTTTTCTCCCCTATCCCTACTGAATTATTTAAAGCTAATTTTAATTTCAGTTTGATAGCTTAAAGTTTTTATTATGTGTTCTTTTTATTTTTATTTTTCCAAACCATCTTCTATCTCGTCTGTCATTTTGCCTGTTTGAATTTTTTTCTGCATTTAACAAATTGCTTGGTGTTGTTTATGCCTCCATTTTTTGTTTATAGCTGGTTTGGGTTTTACTTGAGAAGGGGGGAGATGTCTAGACTATAAACTTTCAAAGGTAGAGATAGTTGTGCATTTCATTATTTTCTCACTTTAATGACAGTTCATACTTGCTTGGTGGCAAATTTGGTATTCATTGATGATTTCTAAAATCTTTGACCTCCATGTTATATGTTGGGCTAGATGTATTTGCTTCTGATTACTGTGGGTGTTTTCTTTTAAATTCAGGTTGTTGGAAGAGGAGCCTTTGGAGTAGTTTGCAAAGCTAAATGGAGAGCAAAAGATGTTGCTATTAAACAAATAGAAAGTGAGTCTGAGAGGAAAGCTTTCATTGTAGAGGTAAGCTCGGTGCCTTTGCCATTCTGTTCTCCTTCACCTAAGATACTCTGTGAATTTAATATGAAATCGGCTGTCATTTCTTTGTGTACGTGTGTGTCGCAATTTGGCTGAACCAAAGGTAGGGGCATGGGAACATTTTTTCATTCACACTCTTAATTCTGATTGAAAATCAGTGGGAAAGAACCTTAACTACATAATGAATTCATCTCTGAATTAAAACGTGGTCCTCTCCACGGAATTCACATCTATTTCAAGGCATAGTATTTTAATTTTAATATAGAAAAGAAATAGTATTCTTTCCCATTACCTAAAATTAAGAAAGGAAATTTTTTTTGGTTTTTTTTGAGGCAGGTCTCACTTTGTCACCCTTGGTAGAGTGCTGTGGCATCATACCTCACAGCAATCTTGTAACTCAATGTTTTTAGAAATTCAGATGAGGTTAATTTAAGGAAAAATCTACAACTTAATTCTCTTATACATTGAATAATACAGGAAAATTCAGTAATCACATCATTATTATATTTTCACATTTATTCCTTATTTTATTAACTTTGCATTATTTTGTATATTAAACCACAGTATTTAACTAAATTAGTGTTTTCATAACTTCCCTGGCCAACGGGTAAGTGGTCTCTACCTTATAAAACCTTCTGAATTTATACTTGTTTGCATTTAGTCATAATTTCAAAATGTACTTTATAAATTTTTTAATACATAACATGGAGAAATGAAGATTTCATTGATCTGATGAGGTGACTTGTAATTGGCTGAATGAATGAGAAGTGCTGATGTGTTTGGTGTCATCATGTAGAAAAATGATCCTAGTAGAATGCTCTAGGAGTCTGGTCTCAGCCTTGCCTTAATCATGATATTTATGGTTTAAATAAGATTGTTGCATTGGCAGTTTCACAGAGTTGGGTGAAATAACATGTGTTAAATGCTAGAAATCATAAATCTAAAGATCGTAATAGCTTGGGGAAAATTGTTTCAAATCAAGATTATATGTGCATGGAATTTAAAGAGTCAAATGGTTCTCCAAAAGTTTTTATTAAAAAAACTTTAATCCCCTGTACTTCCTTCCATCTAACCTTCTGCTTCCCAGAGACAACTGCTTTGGACTTATCCCCTCATTTATGTTTTCCCCTAATCCATGTGCTCTTTGTACACCTTCTCTAAAGATTAGCCTCTAGTTGTGTTCTGGGGTGACAAGAGATGGTCACTAAGCTGTTTGAAGGAATCTTTGGGTCTAACTTTCAACCAGTCTCCCACCCTCCTGTCACTAGTGCACTGCGACTACCGCCACTCCCCAGCCTTTTAGAGCTTATGAGGTAGCTCTGATTGCTTCTCAGTTTTTCTAATTACAAATTTATGATTCAGCTTTCTTAAGTGTGTTCTATCACTTATTGCTAGTCTTTTGCTTTCCAACTTTCAAAATGTGCTATTTTATCATTTCACAATATATTTGTAAATAAATATAATAAATCGTGATTTCTCTTAGGACTAGACATTTACTAATGTTGGCTGTAGAGAGATCAAGCTTTCTAGTGGCCTGTAAGGTAAAGGTTTAGAGACCCTAGTGGACTTAATATGAGCCAACAGCATAATGGAGGTAATGGAGAAGGAAAGGAAAAAAGCAGGGAGAGCGCACTAAAGAGGAGGGAAGAAAGAGCAAGAAGTGATTTGGTGGAAGAGGGGGATATTTAGTAGAAGTTTGAGGTCTAGAACAAGAGAAATGAGTACACCCAAACCCTTTACTGGCCTCATTGTGAACCCTTGGTTGAGGGAAAATTAGAACTGGAAGTAGGGGCCAGCTGGGAAGGGGCTTAGTAATTACTGCAGTGGTTCGTGTTAGAATCACTAAGGCAGGTGTCCTCAAACTATGGCCTGCAGGCCACATGTGGCCCACCGAAGACATTTATCTGGCCTGCGGGGTGTTTTTGCTGCCGCTGCCTGTCCTGCTTAGCAGCTGACTCATCCCAGGGCCCATAGTCCGGCCCTCCAACGGTCTGAGGGACAGTGAACTGGCCCCCTGTTTAAAAAGTTTGAGGACCCCTGCCCTAAACCAATGGCAATGGGAACGGAGAGAACAGAATTCATTCAAGACATGGGAATGATATAGAGGCAAGCATACAGAAAGAGAACACATTTTAAGTAATGTAGATTCAAGCGAAAATCCCACCTATACCACTTTCTAGCTATAGTATGATTTAATAATCCTCTCTGGGCCGTAACTTTGAGATCTCATCTTTAAAATGGAAATGATAACACCTACATTGCAGGGTTGTGGTAACTATACAATGTCTATAAAGTGCCCACCGGGACCCACACACAATAGCTGGACTGTTCAGTCAGTCATACCCGTGAAAGTGATGATAATGATGGTGACATGGCTTCCACTGGCTTGGATAACTCTGCTCGGTAGCATCTCTGGGATGAAGTCCTGATGGTTCTCAGCAGAGTTAATTTCTTCTTATTGCCATCCATGTTCATAAGTCCTGTTACATAGCACTTTGCACATTGCTGTAATTATTTCTTTACATGTCTGTCTCCCCAAGTAAACAATGTGAGCCGGAGCACAGGGATCTCGTGCCATTCTAAGAGCAGGCACACGGTACTCCCAGAGCCTGCTACAGAGCCATTAGTGATTGCTGAGTGGTTTAAACGTTTTGTGCAATGAAAAGATTTTAATGATGCTGTGAAATCAGCACCTCAAAAGTTATCACTTTTTAAAAGAAACCTTAATTTGTTCCAGCTTCGGCAGTTATCCCGTGTGAACCATCCTAACATTGTAAAGCTGTATGGAGCCTGCTTGAACCCAGTAAGTTTGTCACTTTTTCATTGTCATCTGTCTAAGAGAAGTGACATGGCAGATGTGTACAAGTGTGTAAGTTATGAAGCTACCTTTTTTTTTAAAGCATGAAACAAAGTTTATTGAGGAAGAGAGGTTTACAGAGCAAGATACATTGTCCATAGGCAGCAAATGGGCCTGTTTGTCACAGTGAAGGAAAAGGCTTTGAAACCATCTTGATCTGCTGTCTTAGATACATTTCAGAAAGAACAGCTGGACTTTATGCATTTGTTTCCAGTCTTTTAGAAAAATGGTAGAGAACTTGTTTTAGGTTGTCTCATCTAATAATGTCATCTTCTTACAAGGCTTTTGATAGCCTGTGACAGCACCTACTTACATAGTATTAGCACTAAAGAAAGTACCCTAAGGATAATACGGTTATGTCTGTACATGTCTGTCTACTCTGATTGTGCTCCGAGAAGACGAGACCTCAGGTCAGGGATTTTTAACTGCTGTGCCGTGAGAGGATCTTAGGTGTGCCTAGAAAATTTTTAAAGATCATCAATTGAATTATTTTCAAAAGAAGTTCAAAGTATGGTAAGTATATTCTTTTTTTATATACTTTTTTTTTAATCAAGATAATTTAAGTGTACCTTGCCACAAAGTTTAACTTTTTAGGTTCACGTGCACTGTGAGATCAGAAAGGTTGAAAAACACTGTCTTAGGTCATAGATACCTTTTTTCCTGTTATTCACATAGTAGGGGTTAAAAGAATAATTTTTAACATACATATAAAATCTAGGGGTTGAATGAAATTATTTCTCCCGGGCCGTGAGGCTCTACAGCAGTGTGGTTAATTCTCTTCGCGTGTTTCTTTTAGGTGTGTCTCGTGATGGAATATGCTGAAGGGGGCTCTTTGTATAATGGTGAGTGTCACTAGACCTGCTTTAAACTCTAAGTTATGTAATGTTCTTTAAACTTTACCATCAGAGTCTCAAAAGGAGGTAATTGAAAGAAATCTGCTAAAGATTAAAAATGAATAGGTAAGAAAACTGCTATAGTGTTAGTATGTGAAATTTAGAAGTCACTATCAATTTTTTAATTGATGGTATTTTATTATGTTAAAAGCATTAGGTAAAATAAAGTTTGCTTTTTAAATAGATTTTAAAATACCTCAGACTTCTAATTTTTCTTTTTGCCCTCCCTTAGCTTTGAGCCTTCTCATTTTAAAACTCTTTAGCCATACTTCATTTTACTCTGCTTTATTTTCTTTTCAAAAAATAAAGTTGTGAAAAGTCACTGTACAGAACATTTCAGTTGTAACAAAGAGAGAAAACTTTAAAAAGAACAAAGCTCTTTCACCTTAAATAGACCAATGATCAACATAAATGTATTGTTTCTTATAGCACCAGTTAGAGAAAATAAATTGTATTTTGTTCTTTAATTTACTTTTTTTATGTAAACTTTAACTTACATTTCCTGCCCATGCGTTCGTTATTGTTGTTGGATATTTAATACTCCATTGACTTTTTTTTTTTGGGTTGAACAACTTCTAGTTTTTAACTTTACAGAAAATATAGTTGTCAACATCTCGATACAAATTATTATATTTCTTCGTGTACTATTTCCCTGCATCTCCCTTACAGTGTGAACCACAGGACTGCTTATGATTTATGTATTACTGTGCAAAAGACTTTATCCATATCAGTTTGAAAAAGCTTGGTAAAGTATATTAATTTCACTTGAGTGTATGAATAGCAGTTTAATAAACCGTTTAATGTTAGATACTTCTGTGGTAGTTATGTACTCAGAATTATTTGATATTTCTTTTTTATTTAGAAAAGAATTAAAAGTAGCACTGATAGAGCCTGTGTAGAAGAATACCCCTCATAAGTTCCCATAGTGCTGTGTTCACGTAGTGTCTCTTGTCATAGGCAGTAAAGTCCTTAGTCGGTGCCTTTCTTTTGCAGTGCTGCACGGTGCTGAGCCACTTCCCTATTACACCGCCGCCCATGCAATGAGCTGGTGTTTACAGTGCTCCCAAGGGGTGGCTTATCTTCACAGCATGCAGCCCAAAGCGCTAATTCACAGGGACCTGAAACCACCCAAGTAAGTTCTGATACTATGTAAGTAATAAGTAAGTTCTGATACTGTGTCAGTAATTAGTAAGTTCTGATACTGTGTCAGTAATAAGTAAGTTCTGATACTGTGTCAGTAATTAGTA